ATATGATGTTTTAACTTCAATACTACACAGGGGGGAGGGGGGAGGAGTGATTTGTATGGTGTCCAATTTTTCGCTTAAACTGATTATAGAAGGATCTGGTTCTTCTAAGTGTTCCTTAACCTACTATTGCTGAAATAGTAAATACGGAAAGTAAAAAACACAAGTATTTTACGTGGAAAATACCTGGCTCAAAAGGTGAAAAAACCACGACCTACTTCCTAATAGGATTTTCCTAAACTCTCCACTAAATCACTGAGCCAAAAACTGAATTTACAAAATACTTTTGTAAACTTAGGATTAACTCTAATCCCGTTGTGGCAACCAGCCTCTAACTGCTGCGACAACTTCAAGTTAACTCTAACTTGAATACTCTGAGTACCTATTACAATTACCTCTAGATAAAGCTGAAAAGTACAATATGAAAACGCTTACTACAATTGAACTTAGAGCTGGTTCTTCTATCTCGTTCATGTAGTTTCAGGTTTGCACACTTGAATCACACACGAATTGCTTGTAAAATGCCTTGCTATTTTGCTCTCAATTCACGTTTAACTTCTGCTTTTGTGCATCACTGTTTAATGAGAACATCCTGCGATTTATAGAGTTAGTAGAGTAAAAACTTCCTTGGTGGAAGAGTTGTAGTTGATCTCAACTTCTAACTCCTCCCTTATCTTGGATAGTGTTCTCTTTGAATAAGTAGTCCTTCTCCTCAATTATGCAACCTTTTCGATCAGGAGATATCAATTATACCAAGTTAGGCTTATCTCCTTCATGTACATCCCACATACTCGATTCTGCCCGTGTCTATGCACACAAGGGATGGACCTGGTTCATGCGTGAGCTTCCTTTGTCAATCTTCAAAACTAACCTTCACTTGGGCTAACATATATATGTGTGTGTGTACACACACACACACACACACACACACACACACACACACACACATATATATATATATATACATACATTCTGTATGTTATATACAAAAATTATACAAATTTTATATACTTTTTCGACTAGCAAATATAAATAATTTTTGATGCGGGTTAAAAATGATAATACCCCGTTGAAGTCACCAACTGTATATTGTTCATGCTTTAAAAAGTTTTGCAAATATAATTGATGCTACACAACCTTGAAAAATAAAAAAGAATTATGTTGTCGCTTACGGACAAGTGACAATTAAGTTTAAAGTTTGCTTATAGTTCTTCTATAACTTTAGACCATCAAATCTAAAAAATTTAGTGAACTTGTCTAAAGAAACTTTCCAGACAACTTTAGATCTCTGTCTAAAGTTTGGTTATAAGTTTTTTATAGGCAGTCTCGTTTTGTCAACAACTTTAGACATCAACCTAAATGTTCGATGATCACCTATATGGTTATCTCTACTTCTTATTTTTTATCCAAATTTAGCTTAAGCTTTAGTTTTTAATTTATTGTCCAGTACTAAACTTGTCTTTGTCTCTTAATTACACCTGTTTGGATTAACTTACTTTTGAAAAGGATCCCAAAACATGAAATTAATTGAGTATTTATTTCTTGATTCAATTTAAAGTATTTCTTGAAATTAAAACAACCAAAACATGCATGAATTAAAATTTTCATGCTAAATTACGGAGATTAGGAGGAAAAAAAGAAAGAAGAAGACTGGAAAATAAATGAAATCGGCGATTTTCCATTGGGTCTATATATGTAAAGGCTGCTAAAACAAGATATAATTAGTGGTTTCAAAAGAGGACACATGTTGAACTTTCTGTGGATTGTTGTAGGAGAAGGCGTAAGGATTCAAGCTCATATCATCTCTGTTAGATTTTTCTGGTTACCGAACTTTATCACCATAATAATAACTATAGTATTAGAACTCGTGCGATGCATCGGTAACTATTAAATAAAATTAATTATAACAAATTATTTTATTTATTTATAACACATTAAATCTAATTATTTCAATTAAGTTGCATAATCAAGTATTTATAAATTCAATTATATTTAATAATAACACATTTATTTATGTTCGCTTCTAGTTGCAAAGTCAATCATTTTATAATTTTAGTTAAGCAAACCATTTTTCTAAGTTCTAAGTTTATAATCAACATAACCCAATTTACCTCAACCCTTTTTTCTGTCTTTTTAATTAATTAAAATCAAAGAGATTTTATTTTCTAGTCCTGTAACAGCGTCGAGACTTTGGTAGGGACTTCCAATTTTCTTCTTTTCATGACAATATTTTTCTCTACTATTCATATGACTGCAAAGAGTACGCCAAACATATAAATTACGATTAATAGCTTTCTATATAGCGGCTGACTTACATATTTAAATAATTTCTATTTTTAAAGTTCTGAAAGTCTCTAAAAAAAACATGCATTTTGGCAGTAATTTTTTCGCTCTACACACATTCAGGAACCATTTAGAAGAAAATTCACTCATGCCTAGTCTTAAAATCTCTATGATATAATATGTAAAATAATATCTAGCTCTTTATTGTGTGCAACTTCAAATGGAAAAACTATCTTCTTGTGGAATCTTTTTTAAGCAAATAATATAACACACTCGGTTTAAGTTCTTTAATTTGTGTCACCCAATCCATCATTATCATCATCTCGCTTACATATATGGTTATGATGCGATTTAAGATTTTTACTTTGAAAAGCTATTTAAGGAATACAGTCCAACAATCCTAACTGTTTCAACATGATATAACTAAGTTTAACCCTAAAAAGAGCCTCAAAACTATTTTAAGGAACAAAAATATATTTTGCCATAATAAACGATGTCCAGACTACAACCAATACTTCTTTTGTATAACTTATTTCCTTTTGTTGGTCGACATTAAAATGCTTTTGCTAGTTCACACAATAATGGACTCATATGATTCAACCGACTACCAAGTATGATGTGGTTCTATATAAGAAACAGAGAATACCTCATTCCATTTAAATATCTTCCCACAATAATGAGGATAGTTAAGTAATCAAAAAAGAAAAGTACAATTTAAGTTTCATATAGAAAAACAGAGAACACTTCATCTATTTCAAACATCTTCCGTAATAATGAGGATAATTAAATAATTATTCTAAATATGGATTAGAATAAATAATACCATTAAAAAAAAATAATTATGCTGAACTTCATTAAAGTCAATCGGTAGTCCAAATATCTTTATTTATGATCTCCTTATTCATGTGCATCGATATCCGTAAATCAAAATCTAGATTTATTTAAATTTAAAATTAAAGGTAAATCAAAATTTTACCTAATCTGTTCCTTATTTGTGTGATGAAATACTTGTAAAATTGATATGATTTTTGTGACTTTAATTATATAGATTTACATATCAGTGATCATATAGTTTTCTTATAGCAAGTCTCACTGATCAAATATTATGTCATGGGCTGCTTTCCAGCCACGTCTTGTGACGTCCTGGCAAGTCTCTCAACGTCCAGTGCCATGGTCGGTCCCGTGGTCGCGGCAGCGCCAAGTGACAAGCACGCATGTGTCACTGTCGTCCCACCGATAGTACTCGCCAGCGCCCAGCGGCTGGCAAATGCCAACAGGGTCGCGCGCACAGACCATCATGTTGCTAACAGCGCCGCACGCACAAATAGTGTCGCGGGAACAGATCCTGATGTCTCGCCAGCGCCCAACCGCAGGCAGATTCCAACATCGCCGCATGCGCAGACCCTTATGCCAAGTGCCAGCGCCCAACCGCAGGCAGATACAAATAGTGTCGCGTGCGCCGATCTGTGAACACCTAATTTTTGCCCTAATATAAAATTACTCCTAAAAAATCCAAAAACAAATATAGCTTTAAATTATTTTTCTATATTTTTACTTAGTTTGCTTTGTACGTATTCATGTTTGATGCATTTTTAAGTTACATTTTAAATCCTAAAGAAAATACAAAAATATTTTGATTTTTTTTTTAAATTTTAATTGCATAATCAATTGCATTTGTAAAACACTAA